AGAGAGGCACTGTAGCATATTGACTGAAGTGCTCGCCTCAGAATCAAGGAAGACCTGAGTTTGAATCCTGCCTCCTATGTGACCTTGGGGTGGTCACTTCCCTTCTCTGGGAGCTGGACTGGATTATCCCTGAGGTCTCCTCCAGCTCAGAGTCTCTGATCCTGTGAAGTCAAGGAGAAGGATGAAGACAATAAAGTGATAGAGTATTTTCCAGATCAGAGATTCAGGATTGAGTATCAATGGGCAACATCTGTGGAGATCCTTACCTTGCCTCATCTTTATATACTTTCCAACAGGCTGACCATTGTTGCTCCCATGATTATCATCCAAAGCATTTTTTAGTGCCTGCCATAAGGATACAATCACTTTAAGAAGTGTCATATTTTACAAGACAAAAATTTTGTCCAGCTTAGTATTTTATTTCTGACAATGTCACTAAGAGATGTTTTGTGGGAGAGAACAGTGATCGACCATAATATATATACATGAAAGATGAGGTATAATTCATTAACGTAATAATCCCATGGACTCATTAATCAACAGCTTTTTCTATTTATCCCCTATGCTACCTTGAAGTCTCTTCTAAGACAAAGTGTCCTCAGGGCATATGTTAAAATGAATGAATGAACAGAAAAGAATTTATTAAGTATTTTTGATATACCAAACACTACAGTAAATCCTGGGGATTCAAGAACAAGAGTGAGACAGCCTCTGCCTTCGAAGAGCTTACCTTCACATGGTGGATTGAAAGAACACAGAAAGGGCAATGTTGTCCAGGGAAGGATATTCAGGTCTGGCAAATCTCTGAGATGATGAGGGGGAAAGTGGAGAAGAGAACACACATTTATTAAGTGCCTATTAAGTGCCAGGCATTGGGCTAAGTGCTTTACAAATATTATCTCCTACGACCCTCACAACAACCCCTTGAGGTAGGTGTTCAATTTTCTCGACCATGGCAGAGAGAGGTTAAATGACTTGCCAAGGGTCACGTATCTAGTATGTGTCTGAGGCTGGATTTGAGTTTAGGTCTTACAGACTCTGGGGACAGCACTCTAATTCACTCTAATTCTAATGTAGCTGGCTCAAATGAGGACTGTGAATTGACATTCCCTTTCCAGAGGCAATGGTAACATTGATTTGATTATAATTCTCAGATAAGAGCTGAAACTATTGAAATAAATGTAGTGATCTGCCATATTTTTATATCAAATGAGGTAGATAATAGGGAGTGTTCTCCAATATTATAGAAATATCAAAAGAAAGACTTCTACCTGCTGTAAAGTTCTGCAGATACTCCTATGCACTGATGATATCATAGTAATGCAAGTAAGCTGGGGACTACTACAGAATCATTTCAGTGACATCCACAGCAACTCAAGAGACTGGTTCAACTATCAGTCTAGAACAAAGGCAAGAAAGTCTCAAACCAATGTATAAAAATAGAAAGAAAAACAAATTTCTTAAAAGAATCTTATTGCCTATGTTTTTAATACACAAATTAAAACTATGGCTACTACTTTGCTAAATCTTCAGTTTCTGAAAGTATGAAATTATATGAAATCCAAGTTATCCATAAAAGGTAGGTAGCACAGAGAATGGCAGTGAATGGTAAACTGAAAATTTAAACTGATAACCATTGATTGCTTCTTACCTTCATAACCTTCCTTACTGAGCTGAACAGCTTGAAAAACAATGGTTTCTTCATTTTTATACCTATATAAGTTTATACACAAATAAGAACAAATAGAAATCCTTTTCAAAAGTATATCCTGATATCTTCCAAAGTGCATTCATTTTTCTGTCCCATTAGTAAGTATATGTCCTAGAATCTCATAGTCCATTACATAAGTAGAGGGTCACCGCCTTCATTCATTCAGAAAAGGTACAATGTACTTGTACAATCTGCTAAAATTGAGCAACTTCCTATATTTTACAAAAAGTCTGATTTGTATCTGAAAATGTATTAGAAGCTATTTAATAACTTTCTCACTAACGATCTTTCTTCTGGTCCAAAAAAGGAAATTAATTTTAGAAGAGTCCAAAGAAAGTTGCTTTTTCAGATAAAATTAGGCACAGAGTATTTCTTTGAACGACAAGAGAAGTTCACAGAGTAATGGTGAACAGATGAGCTTTCCAAAGGATATCCAGTCTTTTATTAAACACATGCTAACTGTGGTCAACTGTGACCAATTTGGTTTATTACTCTCCACAAGAGTTTGAACTGAGATTACCCAGTTAATTTAATTGAGAAATGTTAGATGAACTTGAACTGTTTCTTAGACACGAAAGATGAGATATTTTGTTAGCTAAAATATCAAGTATTCAGAATGGTGAGTTAATCTTTGACAATTTGACTCTGTTATTTCTTTAGATCATTTGTGTGTCACAAAAGGAGAAAGAGGTTTGTCTTTCAGATTCATAATTTCTACTCCTATTTGCATGGAGGTAGAGCCAAATGACAAAGGCCCTAAACAGTGTAATAATCCTATTACCAAAAAGTAGAATTCCTACTGGGGCTACAAAAATTGCAGTTTTTACATTGGCTTTCATATGTGTCATTAGCACACTTTGAGGGGAAAAGAGATAGAAGACATTTAGCTAGTGAGGAAAAACAAAAACAAAACCAAAATCCCAGGAATGAATAAAATCATGGTAAATTTCAGTAGCTAACAAGCCAACCCCAGAGTGAAGAGATTTTTTAGAACTTTTTCTCCTGATTTCACTCATAAAAAACAAAACGGAGAAGTTTGCTTGTTTATTTACTAAATAATCTCTGAATTCTTTCCAACATAAGCCATGGAAATGTGAAACAGCATCGACAGCATCTCATTGAAACATCAGTGATAACTTTATCAGTAGTGTGTGACACAAGGTGGCACCAGACTGTAAAATGTGACCTTATATGTGTCCGAAAACATTTTAGAGATACTTTTTTTGTCTTTGAGAAGATCAGAACTCTAAAGAGTAATTTTGCTACATTTACTTTTTTTTTTCCTAAACTGAATTTAAGTTTCATACCCTCTCGATTATTCTCGGCAACTCAGAGACAGAAAATCTTTGAATAAATTACAAAATCACCCTTAACGTTACTAGTGACTCTTTAAATGGAATTTTTCATTCAAACTTTGTCATTAAAATAGAAAGGCCTTTTGGTTGTGACCATACAAGCATACTAAATGGTATATGTTTGTGATACTGAATGAATCTGGCCCATATGCTGCACTGCAAAGCTACATGAATGAAGCATTTACCAAATCAGGCCCACCACATTAAACAGAAAAACAATCTTTATTCATGGTAACTTATCAGTTTCAATTAATCAACCTTAACAATGGAAATTCTGATGTGTTCAAGCAACTTGAAAGCAATAGGTCATCTCCAGGGCAGCCATGTTGTGTCTTTGTGCCTATGGCCTGGAACAAAGCTACATCTCCAATAAATATACATACATATACATACATACATGTGCATATCTATCCATACAAATGTACAGTTATGTGGATGCCCCTATGCATCCATATGAAGGCACGCTTATTGCTTATGGTTGTTTTGGGAAGGGGGTCATAACAAATTTCATTGTTTTCCTCCAAGTATTAGTTTTGGAGCTCTGTAAGTTTAAACAAAAGACAAGACATTCCCATTGGCTGACCATCCTTTCAGTTTCTGCGCTGCTATGTGAATGGCATTGTGCAGACGGTTCCAATGGTATTGAAAAGGGGTAACCATTGGTTTGATTTGGTTACACGGTTTCGTAAAGAGCTCCCTCCCACTGCCTTAGGGTCTGTGAAAGGTCCCTGACCTGTTTAGAACTGCCAAGTGAAATGTCATGTCGCCCCTCCCAAGTGGGAGTATCTGCATTCATTTGATCAGTATAAAAAATGGTTGGGGATGGTGAGATCAGTGCTTTTGAATTGCAATTTATAGCAGTTTACAAAAATGCACATTGTTGGAAAAGAAAACATGGAAGTGTTTCTTTCCAAATTGCATTACCTGTGAAATGTCATTAGTCTTCTAAGGATAGTTACATCCTAATTTTTGAATTATTTAAGAGAGTTATTTCAACTAAAGAAGATCAGAATCTTGTTACATGATGACTTAATATTCTTCTGTTGAACAAGTTATTTTATTTTTTTCCTCAGATTTGGGAAGGATGGGGTTTCTGGGTTCATTACTGAAATGAACATACCTAGTGATTGCTTCCATTTAATGATTCCCACAACCAGTCTTATCAATAAGTTGCTATAGCAGAATATTCTTTTCTTAGATTATAAAACAAGCTGAATTTGTTAATTAATTTCTTCTAGACTTCTCATGTTCATGTGTTTGCAGTTATAAATTGCATTCTGCCATGTGTCCATACACCTTCATCCCAGCAGTGCTTTCTCTCAAATCCAAACATACAGTAGAGGTCCTGGAAATTTTTTTGTGGATGGTTTTGTGAACTCCAAGTTATAGAAACACTTACTATATGCTTCAGGCTAAGTATTACCATGAGATTAAATTCTGACTTAGGTATTTTTGTTGAAAGAAATGTTACTCATATTCATAAAATGTTCAAAAGAACATATGGATTTTATATCAAGGTAGTTAAAATGTTCACGGAGGTTAAAAGAAACTTGAGAATACAATGTTCTCTTAGGATTCTTCAACCTCCACCCTATCCAAAAAATCCTTAATATCACTTTTAAACAACTGGGAAGCTGGATCTCTCACTTTAGGAAGTGTGTACAGGTGGCTAGAGTGGCAGTCAGTGGACACTGGGTGGGAATTGCTTTAAGGAAGGGGGGGGGTCTCTTTTTTTTTTAACCAAAGAAAAAGATTTTGGAAAATGCCATGGTGGCTTGGACTGGTATTGATATTTAATTTGAAGAAGGGAAGGGAGAAAAGACCCCTTTTCTCTTAGGATTGGCTCAGATGCATCCAATAGCACTCTACTTTGAACATTCAACCAGTGAAAACTGAGCTTGTCACTTTTTTATCTTTGTTCATGTTAAGCTTAGGAATGACAGCCAGGCTCTGTGTGTTTCTCTCTCCCATTGCCCTGGCTGTAGTGACCACATTGACACCTACCGGTGCCCAAAGGCTGCGATTCTTTGTCGCCTTCTCCACGCTCCTGGATTTCACTGGGATTAGTTAGTAGCTCCATTGTTCGTGTTCAAAGCTGTAACATCAGATTCCCATGTTTGGGCCTTCCCAGCTCAGACCCCCAACGCTCCCCTCACAATCCATGAAACAGGTAAAATTCCCTCCCTGCCAGGACAGAACAGGAGACAGCAGGACCCAGTATGGGGTCAGTCTAGTTCCTTCATAACTCAATCCAAATAGGGAGGCTGTTGTAACTTGCTGGATCAGTGCTTGCTAGAACTTGTTTTTATATGTTCTTCAATTGTGTTTCAAAGGAGAAGAGTTAGAAATGCAAAATTTTAACCCTCTCAATTTCAGGGACAAAAATTGACCCTGGATCTTGTAAAAGGCACTTTTCCTCCATGACACTGCTCCCCAACCCCAACCCCCCAACAGCTACTCCAAGCCCTGGGAAGGAGACACTGTTGAAAGTCACTCACTGACCCTACTGATTTGATCACAACCACCTATAAAATCTATTTCAAAGGCTGTAGGACAGCAGGGATCCAGGGGAAATCAGCTAAGGAGACCTAAAGTCTGGTTTTAGAAAAAATTGCACTGTCAAATAGGGAAAAGGCCAATTCCCCAAGGGAAGACACATTTTGTTTCTGAGAGTTGTTTTTACCAGGCATAGGATCATAGGAGCTAGAGCTGAAGGTATCTTAAAGAACATTTAGTTGGAGCCTCTCATTTGACAGATGAGGCAACTGAGATCCAATAACCTTACATGACTTGCCCAAAGCCATACAAGTAGCAGGTAACAGAGGTTGGAAATTCCAACCCAAATCCCCTGATTCCAAATTCAATGTTTTTTCCCATCAAACAGATCAGGACAGACCAAGATGGGTTGAAGGCCTGGGCTGTGATCACCCCATATGAAATCCATGACCTCTACTAGAAAGCAGTAGTGCTTAGAGTTGAGCTGGACTCAGCTTGTTTGGATGGGGCCCCTCTTAGTGAGTGCTGAGTATACCAAGTTTCATGTCTCTTTCATCTTCTCTTCTATGACAGTGGTGATTTCAGAAGAAGAGGAAGAAGAAATTGGTACTGAATTCACATAATAAGCAATGCCCCAATAATAACTAAGGAGCAGAAAGTGGAGTACCAGGAGAAGACAAATGCAGTGAGAAGACCTTGACTTTACCTTAGTTCCAGATACCCAGTTTATCAGTTTGTAAATTAACTATTTAACCTTTTCCCCTTCCCATCCCAGATTTTGCCCTGAATGAGCTCCTATAATTGAAGGGGAAGCTCTTCAGGTTGATGCATCAGTGCTCAATGTATCCTTTTATCAAGTAATTTTCATGTGTGTTCAGGTTAAGCCCTGGGCCAGACAGATCCTCCAGGGGCTGCCACAACCCTCAGCTCTGGGCCATTATCCCCCTACCCACTCTAGGACCTGGGTTATGTGCAAAGGAGCGATCTTCAATAAAGAGGTTTACCAAACTAGGATTGTCTGGTGTCCTCTGTAACCCAGAAGACAGGTCAGTATTGGTTCCCACCTTCAAGCAGACCCTAGAAGCAGGAATAAAGTCTGACCAATGATGCCACCTCCCTACACAAACCACACTGCTGGACAGCTGCCTTTACTGAGCAAGTCTTCCTTAAGGGAAGCCAAAAAGGTTCCAGGTTGTCAGTGAACTCTTCCTCAACACACTAGCGCTGGCGCAAAGCTCTTTATCTAGGAAAGGAATACTCTAATTTTAAATGTCCCTTCCAAGAAATTAGTTCTGTGCTGGGAAGTTAGAGACACCCTCTTTTGCTTTTCTTGAAAACCAGGATTAAAGTGTGAATTATATATCCCATTTGAAGAATGAAGGACCACTCTTTCTTCCTTTACATCCCTTCATGCGTAATGTTCAGTTCCCACTTTCCTCCTAACCAAAAGTTCCAGGACTATAGCGTCAGCAATAGCCTTTTAAGAAGTCCTTTCTGCTGATATGTAACTAGATCCTCATTAAGCCTCAGGAAATATATTTCTGATAGCAGTCACCTATAGCTGAAATCCTCTGGCGCAAACAGAAAACTCTGGGGACAGACTCCTCTGTGCGTAAAAGGAAGCAAAAGACTTAACTGGAAAAGAGCCTCGCTATTCTCAACCCGAGTACATGGGGTGGCACAGCGCAGCCCAGCATTATTCGAGCTTCATCTACTATGCACTATATACCACCGTCTCCAAAGGATTGTTGCCCTAGAAACTTGTTTTAAATCTCCTGCTATATATCAACACCTTGTTTTAGCAGTCTTTGGCTGAATTACAGTTACACAGTTTGGCGCTTCTTTCAAATTTCCTCCCATCAGTTTGGCCAAAGAAAGGAATTTTTCTCCTTTAGAAATGAATCGGCTTAATTAGTAAGTAGATTAATGGCAATTGCTGGTGAGTTGGTTTCCAGCAGAGTTTCACCAGAGAGGGTTAATCGGAGTCAGGTCTGGAATCTTTCCCAGAACTGGCTGCCAGCCATTTCCACCAACCAATCAACCCTACAAGAAACGGAACGAGAGAAACAGAGTTTATATTCTCACTGCATTATGCCTGCCCTAAATTCCTAGGAAGCAGGCTAGCAGTTGGGGGTTCAACGTGTGGTTTCTTCATTCCAGAATGTCAACAGAAGCCTCAAAGGTTTCATCTTCGAAATTTATTTAGAAACCAAAAGAGAATTTCAAGCAACATGGAATATGTCCTCAAGGAAAAGCCTAGACGTTGTGGAAACTCCTAGGGGCCCTTTGACAATGTCAGATCTAGAGAAGTTACCCAAACATCCCCAGACTAATTCCTCTACCAACAAGAAGTCTTTCAAAAGTTTTCCTGAACGTTTTGCAATCGTTTCCACTTACTTTTTTTCCATAGTGATAAAAATGCTTTCATAGTTTAACCCGCAGCTGCATTAGTCTTGCAAAAAAAAAAAAAAAAAATCCCTGCTGAGAAATGCATATAATAGGAAAAACAGATCGGCTGGACAGCAGTGTAATTAATGCCAGAAAGGGCTGAGGCCGGTTTCATAGTTTGTCTTTTGAGGATATCAAGACGAGACCTGGTGAAAAATGACGCATGCTTTAGCATTTCAGAAAGCTGGCAACTGGCAGAGTCTTTACTTTTTTTTTCTTTGACTTCATGCCGCTGAACAAAGAGGTCGGCAGAACTAGCTAGGTTGTAATGAGTTCTACGTCCCTAGCACATTAAGTGCATCATGGAAACATATTGTATCGAAATAGTTTGGAGGAGAATACCGGGGATGAAAGAGAATGGGTGCTTTGATCAGCTCCCTGGGGTCCTGAGTGCGCACAGACCGACTCGCAAGGAGTTATTCAGCTCTAGCGAGACACACTTACAACACCATTCAAAGAAATTTGCATATCTGTAATTTATCACATTGGTCCTGAGCATTTTTGCGAGGTAAATAAAAGTTGGCTGAATAAAAAATATCAATCATCACAGATATAGAGGAAACTGTGAAGCCAGATTTTCCTTGAAAAAAAAAAAGTCCATAAAATGCAAAGCTTTAATGCTGGTTTTAAACAATCCCTGAAAGCAATAGGTTAGGCTCTGGGGAAGCTACCAGAGTGGCCTCAGCCCCCTTCCAATATTATTGCTCTGAAGTTAAGGGATTAAGTTTTGAGATTTTTCTAAAAAGCCGAAACCATGCCGACATTGGTGTCTATAAGCCGGACGCACGATGCGGATGAATTCTAACAGACTTTGGAGGACAGGAAAGATGATTTAGTCCTCCATCTTTCCTTGCCGTCTGCAAACGTTAAGATTAAATCTCTTCCCATCCTCTAGTTCTTTTCACTTGTGTTTGTCAAAGTGTCAAACTTGTTTGCAAAACTGCAGCTCTGGGGATGAAATGTCCAGAGAACTGGTCAATAGGGAAATTTCCTTTCTAGTTTCCCTAGAAGAACAAGAGAAGAGTTAACAGGCAGGCATTGTTTGGCTTTTTTTTTTTTTTTTTAACAACTCCAGTTAACAGCAAACAAGACTCTTCAACTTGACCTTGGAAAAGGGCTATGTGCCTGCAGATAATCTATCAACCGACCCCGGATGACAATGATGTATTTCAAAGTATTGTCAGATGAAAAGATTGATAAATATGCTGCTGCAAAGAGCGAGAACTTTGAAAACAGGCAACAGGCAAATGGCGTGGAGCATTCCTCTTCCACCTCCTCGTGCTGCCTGAACCTCTGAGAGTGTGAGCCTGCCTGGTAGAAGAGGGGCCAGTAAATCAGTGCCGTAATATTTCTTTAGGGGCACGGAAAAGCTGTGAACAGTACTTCTCATATTAAACGCAATATTTCTTTGCTTTCGTGAGGAACAAAAGTCATAGCAAGACGTCTTTATGGCTAATTCAGTCAAAGGCACATCTCTGGTTCCCCTGCAGAAAGGTCAGTGTCGTTGTGTTTGGTCCACCGAGGGGGTGTTTTCACACTGAAAACTAAGCCAGCTGTCCCTGTCATACTCTCGCCATTGGGGAGCGCGCACTGTGCATGGTTATTAGCCACATTCTACACCTGCAAAATATACCGATTTCCAAGACTTTTCAAGCTCCCCCCACTCTTCTTATTCCACACACCGCCCCCCCCTCCCGCCTTCTAAACTTTGACAACACAATTCAAGCCCAGGATGAAAGCGCTGGAGGCAAGAGAAACGTCGGGAAGGGGGCGGCTTGACAAGCGTCTCGTGGGTATCTATTGAACTGCTATCAAAGAGACTTCAAGTATGTTGTGTTTTGTTTTTTTTTTTTAAGTATGAGAAACTTGCAAGTAATTGCGTCGAGGCGTCCCACATTTGCTGCTGGCTCAAGTGCTATTTGCTGAACCCTAATATTTAATTATGCACGCAGGCACTAGGCTTGGGGCTGTAGCCAAATGTCCTTCATTTATAAGTGGCTCATTTTTTTTTCTGTTTTTAGCTTTATTTGCATTTAATATGCCAACGATCAAGGCCCCGCGAGCACGTCTTCATCTTTTCATTGAATATATACATATATTTAAAACACCCAAACACACATCCACTAGCACCCAGTTGCTATACTTTCATCATCCTGCCCCAATTTGAATGTCTTCGAGGGGGAAAAAAATCATCCGGGTGTCACAATTAGACATCTAAAACTATAAAATTTGAGAGGCGGTGGGGCCTCAGGCCATTGAGGCCAACCATTGCCTGAGAAGGAACCCCGGTGTAACTTTCCCCAAAAATTCTCTGGTCATTACTTGAAGACCTCTCGTGACAGGGAACTCACTACCTCTCCGAGCAGCCCATTTCACTTTTGGGAAGCTCTAATTACTAGGAAATTTTAAATGACAGATGGCTCAGAAACCAATTTCTAGTTTCACTAGAGATTTGGGGTGCAGCCCAAATAAGATGCTAAATTCGATACCGTAGAAGAATCGGGGGGAAAGTTTCCAAAAATGGGGGGGGGTGTCTTTCAGAAACGTGCACCTTAAAAGTGAAACTGCTCAAACACCACTCTGTTGTACAGAACAAGGCCAGCCGGGAAGAGACCAGCTTCCTCCAGCACCTTTTATATATGGACTCGAGGGTGAGAGGGAGGGCGGGTAGAGCAGGTATAGAATTTTCCTTCTGCTCACCTCAAAAGAGGTAAAGAACCCCTTATGTGTTTCTGCCCCTGATCCTTCTGCGATCCTTCACCCCAAACTTAGAGGAGTTTAATGATTAAGCTTGTGAATGGAGGAAATGACTGGACTCATGGGCCCCATGTGGGTTCCCAGAAAAAAAGGCAGGGATCTGTAGAGGCTAGGTCTTCTAAATGAATTTGGGGGGGGGGCTGCGGAAAGCCCCCAATCCAGGCTCAAAATACGCAGATCCAGACTGGGGGGGTGTGGAAGGGGAGCCGGCCTCAAGTCTGGCAAAACCTCCCGGGCTTTCCAAGTGGTTTCAGAGCAACAAGTGGCCTGGAACAGGTGCATGCGCCTGGGGAGTTGGGGCACCCAGCTGCTAGCAGGGCCAGAGAGCCTGAGGCCTCTCGCTGGGCAAGGTCAGACAACCCTAGAGGGCAAGAAAGGTGCGGAGATCAGAGGGAGGCTCGAGGCTCCCCGCTCCACCAAAGATAACTTGGGCGTCCAGAGCCCGGGGCAGCAAACAGCTCTAAACTGGCTGAAGAGAGTAGCGGGCCATGGGGGTTCAGCTCAGTCTTGGGGAGGAGGCCTCCCCAGGGCTCCCAGGGGAGTTGGGGGGGCGTGCCCCAGCGCCTCCTGCTGGCAGGCCCAAGTGCCCAACCCTGGACCTCCACTGGGCCCCTCACTCCCCAGCCCGGAGGCTGCTTCCCGGGGCCCCTCTTGGAGACCTCCATGCGCAAAGACAGTGGAGCTGTGGGCAGTTCTGTCTGCGGTCCGCTTTTCCCAGGCTCCAGGGAACCCCGGTGGCATCTGGCCCCGTACTGAGGCAGGACCAGGGACTGGCCCGGACCCGGGGGCCGCCACCCCCAACTCCTCCTAGGGTTCCCCCACGCCCTACGGCCGAGGAGCAGCGGGCGGGGCGCATGCGCGCCTCAGGCCCGGGTCCCTCCCCAGCTAGCCGACTTAGAGGAAAGTTTGGCGAAGTTTACTGGGGCTGCGGCGGGCCTCCAGGCAGCCCAGACCTCCCGGAAGGGGAGGCTCGGAGCCCCCCCGGGCTCCCAGGGCTGGGCTCGGGAGGGGCCCCGAGGCCCGAGAGGCGCCAGAAGGTAGGGCGAGGGAGGCCTTTTGTGTGTGCCACAGGAGAGGCCCTTGCGCACAAACGCAGAGGCGCGCGCCGCCGCCGCAGCCGCCACCGCCGCCTCCCGGGCTGCACCTCGGCCACTGAGGCGTTTCATTACCGCCGGAGCCCTTCCCCCGCCGCCCCCCTGCACCCGCTTTTGTTCGCCCTGAAAGTAATGCTGTGAATTCAAAGAAATGACAATATTTTCTATCGGCTTGAAAGTCCAAGAGAAGAGCCCTTGAGCTTGGCAAAAATCAGGCAAATCATTCATCATGCCACCCCGCACCTGTGGTCTTGGCATTGAAAACCCTCCAGACCTATTTCTATTAAACTTAATTATTCCCCCAAAGCACACAATGGTTGAAATGGAGCAGGTTGGAGTCTGTTTATTGGTGGTAAATGTTTTTCTGAAGATCTTCTGAATCTCATTGTTAGCTCGTTGTTTGAGGCTGCCCTCTTTCTTTCAGGCTAGAGTAGCCTTGGACTTTTCAATTTTCAATCGTAACATCTGCTTAATCGTACGGATCAAAATATGGAGACACAAAACATATGTAATGGTTGATTTGTTAAATCCTGGTAATGAGTTATTAACAAGGGAAAACAATAGGCCAGGATGGTGAGAGCCTTATGGTAACAGAGTCACTTTATGTAACGCCTGACGTTCCCCTTCTTGATAAATGGAACTAAGGTCTGAACGCCAGGTGATAGCAAGAAAATCAATGTCTTTAGGGGCCAGCACTGAGACTTTTTTTCTTCTATGTGAAAAATTAGGAGACATAAAATTTAATTGGCTGATCAGGGGGGAGGGGGAAACAGTGGTCTTAAGTTTAATTGCCAGTAGGCTTAGCAAGGGAGACAAAACAAGATTTGGGCCTGTTTGTTTGCTTGCATCCCAGCTTCAAGTCCAAGTGTATCATTGAAAATGTGTTTTATTATAACACATGTCATGCTTTACAGTTCCCATATTGTGTAAAGACAATGGTTAATGGTACATTAAAGACAAGCAAACCATGCCAACACGTCTTGGAGACATTGTAAGGGCCTCTCTCTTTGCTTGTTTTAGGCAGCTGCAGTCCAGGACCTAGAAACACAAAAAAAGAAGTTTGAAATACCAGGTGCATCCTAGAGAACCACGACAGGGATTGATATGTTATAGCCCAGGACATGAACCTAGCAATAAAGATATCATTCCGATTGTTTGCCGCTTCCACGGCATGTCAAGCAAAGAGGCGCCTGAGCAGTCTCTTTTCTGGCAGCCCAGCTCTCCCTCCCTGGGTTTCCCTATCTCCCTCAGCCAAATCCGAACACCTGTTGGCCAGGCCTCACATCCATCGTGGGAATCGGTTCCTACCAGTGATTCCAGATCTCTAAAATGCAATTTGTTGTGGAATTATTTAGGACCATTCCCACAGGCTGCAGAATGCTTTGGAAAGGCAGAGGGAGGGAGGGAGGGAGAGAGAGGGTAAGGGAGGGAGAGGGCTTTACCCAGGAGGGTTTACCAGGGAGCACTCAACTGGTGTTTGTTCAACCTCGCAGCTGGTACTCGGTGCCACCGCAAAGACACATTAATGGAAATGGGATGAGTTCACGGATTTAAGAGGTTTCACACCCTCTCCATGAAGGAGCATTAATCCTAATATTGGCAGATTAGCAACCCTGGGAATCACAAGGAGACGGATTCACAGTGGCCTGGACGAGGCCAGCTCTTTATGCGCACTGCTCTGGGCCTGGTGGGCTTGCTCTCTTTCTCCACTACCCCTTTCTGCATCGCAGAACGCAGAGGTTCGGCCTTTCAGCCTTTTATAGGGCATTTTTCATAACCCACATTGTCTCCTCGGTGGAAAGCGAGGGACTTCACAAACGAAGCTGGGTTGCAGTGCTCACTTGCTTTGTACATAGCAGTATCTCATCTCCTCTTCCCCCTCCACATTTCACCTCTCTTTACCCACCCCAACCTCAGTGGAAAAACTTTGTGATGGAAAAAAAAAGCAGAAGAAGGAGGAGGGGCGGGAGTGGGGCAGGGAGAAGAGGCGACAGTTTCCTAGCCTCTTTTTGAAAACGGAAAGCCACCTCTGCGATGTCTTTTTCTGTTTTGATAGAAATAAGACACCAAAGCTGTGGGTCTCTGCCCGTCAAGGGGGGAGAGTTTGGGGGGAGAGACCGGTGGGGTGCGAGGGAAGGAAGGTTAGGAGGGACAGTCTGGGTCCTCTCTCTAGTCACTCCCACTTTGACATAGAGGCAGAGACTGACACGGGAACCCAATAGGCAGGGGGACGGGGATGACCTACATGTGGGGGCAAGGGCGGAGAGTAAAGAGAGGGAGGAGAAAATAGACTTCTAACTCCCATTCCTGTTTTTATGGTTCTTCCTTATACCGTTGTCCTCTCCTCATTCCTCCTCTGCCTTCAACACAGTACAAGTCAATTCCTAGTTGGATATCGGCTCCTTGGGAAAGGATCTCGCCAACTTTCCAGTAGAGAGATCATAAAATGCACCTTACACTGGGATTTGCTGCTTCTTTATTATGCTAAATGGTCTCGGGCACTAAAGGCGGACTTTAGAATCTGCCTGTCCGTGGCACTTGGCGGTGGTGCGGCGCTCGAGCCTCAATGGGCACCGTGGGTGTTCTGGGGTTGGAGGGTTTGGGTCAGTAAGACACAGGCTTTCCAGAAGTCGAATTTGGAAAACTGCTTTTATAATCACTTATCCAAAAAAGGGGAGGGGGGAGAATTGGAAGAAAAAGAGGCAGGCGACTTAGAAAGAAGGTTGAATACCTGTCACTCAATCTGCCCACACGCTGGTCCTTACAGTGCCAAGCAATATTTACTGACCAGTAAAGCCTTCCAGCCGGAGCAAATCTCTCAGCCAGATTGTGCAACTAGAAGAGAGAGCCCCGG